GAGCCCACTTCCATACTGCCGGAGTCTTGTCTAGTGGCACCGGTAGTGTGGGAGGTCGATGCTGAAATCGAGCGGGCGTTGCGTACCGACCCTAGCCCTCCACAGTGTCCGGTGGGTCGGACGTACGTTCCGCTCGAGGTTCGGGATCGACTTATTTATTGGGCTCACACGTCACCCTCCTCTGGACATCCAGGTATTGGCCGGACTGTGCACTGCCTTAGCGCTAAGTACTGGTGGCCAACGTTAGCCAGGGATGTGAGGGTTTATTTCTCCTCCTGTTTGGTGTGCGCCCAGTGTAAGGCGCCCAGACATCTTCCCAGGGGTAAGTTACAACCCCTGCCCGTTCCACAATGACCCTGGTCTCACCTCTCGGTGGACTTTGTTACAGACCTTCCCCCCTCTCAGGGGAATACCACCATACTGGTCGTTGTGGATCGGTTCTCTAAAGCCTGTCGTCTTCTCCCAATGCCAGGTCTTCCCACTGCCTTGCAGACCGCTGAGGCACTATTCACCCACGTCTTCCGGCATTACGGGGTACCCGAGGATATAGTGTCTAATCGAGGTCCCCAGTTCACCTCCCGAGTCTGGAGAGCGTTCATGGAGCGCCTGGGGTTCTCGGTGAGCCTTACCTCAGGGTACCACCCGGAGAGTAATGGGCAGGTAGAACGTGTTAACCAGGATGTGGGTAGGTTTCTGAGGTCGTATTGCCAGGGCCGGCCGGAGGAGTGGGCGAGGTATATTCCCTGGGCAGAGATGGCCCAGAATTCTCTTCGCCACTCCTCCACCAACCTAACCCCTTTCCAATGTGTGTTAGGTTACCAGCCGGTTCTGGCACCGTGGCATCAGAGCCAGATCGAGGCCCCTGCGGTGGATGAGTGGGTAGGGCGCTCGGAGGAGACGTGGAACGCTGCACACGTCCATCTGCAGCGGGCCATCCGTCGACAAAAAGCAAGCGCCGATCTCCACCGCAGTGAGGGGCCGGTGTACGCACCTGGAGATCGAGTCTGGCTCTCGACCAGAAACCTACCCCTCCGCCTGCCCTGCCGGAAGCTGGGTCGGCGGTTTGTAGGGCCCTTTAAAGTCCTGAGGAGATTGAACGAGGTGTGTTACAGGTTACTACTACCTATTGAGTATAAGAATGTTAACCCCTCGTTCCATGTGTCTCTTCTCAGGCCGGTGGTAGCTGGTCCACTCCAGGAAGGTGAGATAGCAGAGACTCCTCCGCCCCCATTGGACATCGAGGGGGCTCCGGCGTACACAGTTCGGTCCATCTTGGATTCGAGACGTCGGATGGGGGGTCTCCAATATCTTGTGGAGTGGGAGGGGTACGGCCCGGAGGAGCGGTGCTGGGTGCCGAGGAGGGACATCCTAGACCCGTCTCTCCTGACTGAGTTCCACCGTAGTCACCCTACGCGCCCTGCACCGCGTCCTCCTGGTCGTCCCCGAGGCCGGGGTCGGCGCACGGCTGGAGCCGCGCGTCAAGGGGGGGGTACTGTCACGGAATCTGCCGAGGCTGCTCCTCCTCCTTGCTCGGGCAGGTTTCGGCGGTCGTCGTCCCCGGAATACTAGCTACCACCGTTGTATGTTTCTATGTTCGTTTGCTTTTGTCTGATTGTTGTACACCTGTGGTTAGTTAGCGTTGATTATGTGTCCTATAAGTTCTCGTTTTGTTAGTCATGTGTTGTGTGTTATTGAGCTTCCTGTCTTCGTGTCTGTATTGGTTTTCCCTCCTTGTGTTTTAGGAGAAGTTTTCGCACTTGTTGTGCGCGTTAGTATTTTTCCTGTTCGTTTACGCCTGTGTGCGTATCGCTCGTCTCCAGGCACTTTTGCTCGTATTGATTCACTAAAGACTGTTGAACGAAGCTTCTGTGTCCTGCGCCTGATTCCCGCACCTTCCACATACAGCACTCCTGACACTTTATTATTTTGGCATGTTCAATAGAACAAGTTTTTGTTATTTTGAACATGCCATCACAATAAATACATTGCAAACTAAATATATAAAGAGTGTATCGGTCCTCTTTGTTTTTTGATGACCGTTTATCTATTTTCCCAAAGAGCATCTTCTACCTACAAAGTTCTATCCCAGCAGTGCTTCCCTTCCCTCTTTTTCTACACATTTGCACATGCTCTTATGTTGATTCAATTTAATTTAACATGCAATATCAAGAGTAATGCAGTCATCTCCTGATAAATGAGAGTGAACACGTGTTCATGTACGTAATGCATATACTTAAACGCAGACTCAGTGATATGACGTGAACACAAGCATTAGTGTGATATATTGCAAAGTGAGGGCAAAGAAAATGGCTGCCCTTGTCAGCACCCATACAGATAATGGTAAGCATCTGTGCATGTGCACAGGACTTTTTCCTCCTCCTCCTGCAGCATGATAGTTGTGTGACAGCAGTCAGTAATTATGTGATTTTTCCTCCTCGCATATTCTCCTCCAATCCGTTTTTTAAAGGATGTGAAGAGAAAGGACGTGAGGAATCGAAGAAAGACAAATTGAGAAAGAGCCTATCCTTGAATCCCAAATCAACCCCTAGCCCTTACACCCTATGCACTTGTGTGGACCTGAGAGGGTTTGAAAGGTGTAAGCAATATGGTGACAATTCTACCTGGCCTATTAGAGGGCAAGATGGAGCTGCTGTAGCCCAGCATTTGTGAGTGTATCACAACCTCTAAGGACTGGGATGTTCTACATGTCGGAGAGGCATGTTTGTTCTACATAACATATTTATATCTGAACATTCCAAAATGTTGTTTCCTGCTCAACGCGCCCCTGATCTACCTGTAACCGGTGTGTTTTTCTTTCTGTATCCTTCTACTCCTCTGTCTGTTCCCCTTTCCTTTTTACTCTGCTCCTGTTCGCCAGGATCTAGGAGTTCTGCCATTCTGCCTACCGTATCCCCAGACCTGGATCCACCTGACGTCTTCCATGACCAATCCCCCTCCCACTTTTCATTACATTATCTACAGCTACTGTTATTGTCATGTTACTTAATCTAATCTGCTAAGAAACTGTACTTGCCATATCATCCTGGGCACAGTGAGATACACAGATGCGCTACATACACTAGCACTGCAAACACTCCAAGAGCGAAGAGAGCAGCTGTGCCTGGACTTTGCAGTCCCCCTCCCGTGGCTGGCTGCCTGTCGAGGTAAAGTGACGTGGAGAACCACCCGTAGCACCCACCTCCTCTCTATCCCACACACCACACCAAAAAAAATCACCCATACCCTACTTCTGCCAAAACTCTTTGAGGATCCCCCTCTCATATGATGTACTTTACTTGTCATTCATACTTCTGTTTTCTTAACTAAATTGCACGTTATTGTTTATGTGTTGATTTGAGCCTATAGCTATGTGGGTATATTAAATAAAATAAACTAGTTCATGACACACCTGTTCCACAAAAAGAGCAACATTTTCATTTTTTATCTTAAATATTGCCAGGTAGGTTTTTTTTCCCACATGGTGTTCATTTAATTAATTAATTGTTGTAAATCCCTATTTTGTTGTTGAAATGTTAACAAGGTACCCAAAAGTAATTCAAAGTAATGTTTTCATCTTATTATCTAAACAAAACTTGTTTCAAAAACCCTAGAGTCGATGACCGCGCCTCACAGAACTCTAATTAGCATAATAAAAAAGTCCCCATCAAAATCAGTCTGTTTAAATTTGTTTTTTTGCATGGGCTGCGTCTCAATCCACCACATCCGCCAGTGGCGGCCTTTCGCATCTGCGGTGGAAGGTGGCCGAGCTATAGTGGTGTTTATTAGACCATGAGCCATCCCAAAAATGGCCTACAAACTAATATGAAAAGCTGAGACTCTCACAAACACGATGGTGTTCTCCGTTTTGCTTTACGACCCCCACAAGCGTCACAGGACTCGTCTGAAGTCGGTACCACCAATCTGCCAACTTCTGTCTGTAGCGTCCGAACAGTTTGGGCTACACCTTTCCCTCTATAGAAAGGTGACACTCTCACGAGGGCTGAGGAGTATTAAATAAAGTGTCTGTAATAAAGCACTTGTGTGGGGAAAAACTCATTCTGATTGGCTACGACCCTGCCCAGTTATGTGAAATCAATAGATTAAGGCCTACTGAATTTATTTAAATTGACTGATTTCCAACATTGCATGTTGCATTTATATTTTTGTTCAGTTTAGTTTAGTGCCCCCCAAAATGTGTTAAATATGGGTACAAAAATTAATAAAATAAAATCTCTCAGATATAGGACTTTAAAACAAATCTCCTTTTGATTTATTTTTTGACCATCTGTTTTCAATGTATGAATCTGTTATTCAATGAGCTTTTATGGGCTAATAGCAGTAAGACCAAACTCAATGTTTCATCAAATAATTGTGTAATATATTTTTTTATACTTAAAGGGGTCCCACAATTCAAAATCAAATAGCTAAATGATCCTTGGTATGACCATCTTAAAACAATTCTACATGTTAGCTTAGTAAACCCCCCGCCCTCTCCCCCGTCCTTTTGGCAACGGATGCTAATAGCTTATCGAGTCCCATTGTGACACGGGGGGACACTTTTTGTCAAGTGGACACTATTTGGCATGACAGGCCCATTAGAACAGAACACCACCTAACAATGGACAATGGGCTGACTCTTTATCAGGCCGCCCACTCTGCTGTGTATGCTGCAGAGAACACAGGCATGTGTTAATCACTCTCCAGTCTCTTCACACATACAAGTGATACATTCACCAGAGCAGTTTGATGGACACAATTCACAACTTAACACTACAGCTGTTAGTTGCTATTAACTACAAGTGTTCCACAGCCATTAGCCAGTTCGTAATGAGTGGCCAGGTGTGAACATCAGACCTCATTGGAGAGGCAATGCTAAGTCATTCCATTTTGTCAGACCGCTACAGAACAATCTATCAATACAAATTAAATGCAAGGACGAAGAGTAACACTGAATACTGTTAGCCTAGCGAGATATTTAAATGGTCACGCAACATATCTTTTCACTCATCCTCATACTTGGAGACAATCAACTCAGCCACAAAGCTATAGAGAATAGAACATAATAGTAAACTTCAACATCATACAAGTGGCAATGTTGGTCAAATCGGTCGCAGTGGGAGCTACGGTATTCTGGGTCGGTATCTTTCCAAGAACTGGGTAAAGAGCTGGCATTCCTTGCGCTATGTAAACCGTGACAACAAGCATTCCGGCCCTGTTGACACAGGGAAACTTATTTCTGTCAGCACCATCAATATTTATGTTAGAGCCCCCTGCTCAGAGTGTAGCAGCAGTTAAACTAATCAACGGCAATGTGCTCCTCCATATGAGCTTGCTTACCGCCGAGCCAAGCAGACCTGGGTTCAAATACTATTTGAAATCGTTCCAATACTTTGAGTGTTTGCTTTAGCCTGCTTAGAGGACCAGATGGGCGGGTTTTACAGGTTTGGGAAGATTTGATTGGTCCAATAAGCCAGGCAAGCTCAATTGAGCACAGATAAAGTTTTTGAAATGATTTTAAATAGTATTTGAACACAGGTCTGCCGCCAAGCTAACAATAACAGCAGCATGGAGAGAAAACAAAGAGCCACGAAATGTGAGAAAAGCAGCATTGTTGCCCGCATTATCACTGTAATTAAGATTTAGCAACTGTTCCTGTTAGCATGTGATCGCCGAGCACTACGGCAACATTCTCGGAGCGCTCCGCAAACATCCTGAGAGGGGCACTGATTTAGCTTCCAGAGGCGTTGGCATGCCGCCAACCCTATTCTGTCCCTGTCCTTTCAGATCCCTATCAAGGGCGGACGATAACACAAGGTCAATCACGGCTACAATAAGGGAGAGAAGGGGAAGAGTGTGTGTGTTTCTGCACAGATGCGTGCGATTGTCTGTCAGTGCATGTGAGCATGGTTAGCGAGATGCAGTGATGTGAGTGTTTGTGTGTACTGCAAAACTGTACCGCATGAGCACATACATGCATGTGTGTGAGAGTACTGCACTGCACAACTGTAACGCATGGGTGTGTCTGTGCGACAGCGATTAGCTCTCCCCTCACGTCCCCGGTTCCCCCTACCCGGTGAGCAGGCAGCAGTCGTGGACCAGGGTATCCTCTACGTAGACGCCCCTGTCCTCATTGCTGTGGACGACGTGGCCATTGTGGCGCCAGAGGAGCGTGACTGAGGGGTCCAGGTAGGACACAGTGCACTGCAGCGGCAGCCGGTCCCCACGGAACACCACCTGTCTCTGGGAAGGGATCAGCTGGAACAGGGGCAGCTCCAGAGGCCCATCTGGAGAGGAGGAGAGGAGGACACCAGGGAGAGGGTCAGGGAGAGGGAGAGGAGAAGGGGAGAACTCATTCATCCAGAGCGAAGGAGAGACTGTTGCGGTATTGGAATGGCAGGGGAGGGGGGGAATCAAAATGAATGATTCCCCATGACTGAAATCTTGTCAGTAATACAGTATTGCAAATGTATATAAACATATACAATATGCACAAATACACATTCACACATTATCAATCAGGAGAAAGCATTGTGCTTGTAGGAATTAACAAAAGCTGTTGGGAATATAGAGGATTTACAACCATTCAAATCATTCACTACCAGAATAATGATAATTTTTGTGGTTGTTGGCTATATAAAAACCAGTTTTAGAAAACGATAAGAAAATGCTAGCACTGTACCTGGTGCTGTATGCATCGGACGCACTTCTACATACTGATCTGAGATCATTGCAGTGTACTGGCTCGCTGTGGTACTTGGGTATTCCTCCGAACACAGGGAACATGTTTGATTGGACACATAAAGACATTTCCTTGGACATGCTCCAAGGAGTCAGCTAAGCGCCACTCTACCGTCAGTTCCATTCAGATCAATGGGGAGTGCTAGCAATACAGTGTGACAGGCCATTCAGTACATGGGTCGTAAAGCGCTCCAATTTATGGCTGCTGATACATTCAGTTAAAACGCCTACGTCTCTGGCTACATTACATCTACATTGTAAATGCTATGACCACAAGTCAGAGACCACTATGATGACACACCAAATGTGTTTTATGGATCCGTTTAGTCTTCTAATGCCTCTTAAGGGAAAAATGAATCAGATTACGTTACTGAGTTTGCGTAATCCAAAAGTTGTGTTACTTATTACAATTTTGGACAGGTAACTAGTAACTGTAACAGATTACATTTAGAAAGTAAACTACTCAACCCTTACTGAGAGATAGTGACAAAGCAAAGGCACGGCTCCATTTCATCTCTCTGGAGATGGTTAAACTAAGCCAATAACAGAGCCAATAAATGTATAATTTAATGTATGATCTGAGAAACGATCAAGGTCGATTTAGCGAGACCTTGCTTTTATGTATGCATACTCTAATGCATACATAAATGGTAATAATGCATACAAATAACAGATAGAAGACATATGTGCTGCTGTACGCAATTAACATGCTTATCTACTGGGCCAGTGACACCACCCTGTAGCTGACTGCAGCTGGCTAAATGGTACCACAGCAAAACAGGATGGGGCGATGGACTGTTGACCTGCTGTTATGCTCATACTGTTGAATCAACACTCAGTGCCAAAGGATCAGAGTGGCAGATGGCCTGTGCCTATCAGGCGCTGCCAAGGTGAGATTGTGTGAGTGTGTGTGTGTGTGTTTTCCTGGTGTGTACAGTATGTGTGTGTTGATGAAGTAGGGGTGTTGAGCCACTGTGTGTGTGTAATGGCACGAGGAAAAGCCAGGACAATGCCCTATTTGTGTGTGTGTGTATGCTAGTATGCGTGCGTGTGTGCGTGCATGTGTGTGTAAGTGTGTGTGATGGTGCGAGGATCCCTAGATGCCAGGGCTAAGCTCTGCGAGGGTCTCTGGGCTGCAGTTAACACAACCCCCTAGAGTCAATGTTCTCGCCTGCGTGGAAATCTAATTAGCATAATACAAAAATCCCTTTCAAAATCTGTCTGTTGAAGCTAGAGATGTTTTTTTTTGCAAGGGCTGTCTCTCAATTCACTGTGGTGGAAGGTGGCAGAGCTACAGCGGTGTTTGTCAGACCAGGAGACATCCCGAAAATCAGTTCTCACAAAAACTTCTGTACCGTCCGAACGGTTTGACTCTATGACCCCCACAAGTGTCACGGGACTCATCTGAAGTCGATACCGACAATGTGCCAACTAGGGATGTCACAAATGTATAATTGTTCTTAACGTTTCAACTGCAATTTATTTTATTGTTTAAACATTTAAACAATAAGAAAAAAATCATAAAATGAGAAGTCTCAATTCTGATATGATCCTGCGTATGACAGCTAGGGGGCAATGCAGTTCGATCTACCGCAGTCCTGGCTACTTACCAGACGGCGCTCACCTTACTGCTGTCCCCCACCCACTCAGCAACAGTGGTAGTTAATTACGTTTTATGTTCTCTGCTGTGTCTCTCTCCTCCATGTTCTCAATTGTCAGTACATAGGACTGCATGTCCCACTTCTCATCAATGTGATTGCTCGTTGCAGTGATGTATGACAGCATGTTCATAGACGTCCAACAATCCGTTGTTAATGCCACGTATGGTGTTTGAGAGCTCGCATTTTGTCCTTGCAGAGCAATCATTGTACAATTTCTCCATCCAGGCTGTCACGGTTTGTCGACATGGCATCTTGTAGTCTGGTTCTAGATATGCCATCAGGGCAGTGAAGCCGACATCCTCTACCATTGACAATGGCTGCATATCAACTGTAATCAGCGCTGTGATTTTCTCACTCTGTCCATTATCGCACTGCTGCCAGCAACGGGTTGGGGATGCCTCCCTTTCAGATGGTTAAGCATTGCACCTGTACTGCCACTGTAGCTCAATTCCACCTTGCAAATATTGCATTTATTTCATCACTTTCTCAAGTATTGCCATACAGGACTTCGCTGCTGTCGCTTCCCTGTCTCACACTGCCATTTTTCCAACAGTTAACGACGATGACGTGTGGAGCGCTGTACTGTATATCCGTGGCAAATAATTTGAAAGATGCATATTTCCTACAACTAACTTTACAGCATTGTTGCATGAGGTATTGTTTCTATTTGTATGTTTCCCTTCATGATGATGGCGCACACATCACTGACAAACTGAAATGGTCCACACAGACAGTTTGGGGAAGAAGGCGCAACAGCGTCTCTTCAACCTCAGAAGGCTGAAGAAATTTGGCCTGTCACCTAGAACCCTCACAAACTTTTACAGATGCACAATTGAGAGCATCCTGTCGGGCTGTATCACCGCCTGGTATGGCAACTGCACCGCCCACAACCCAGGGCTCTCCAGAGGGTGGTGCGGTCTGCACAACACATCCCGGGGGCAAACGACCTGCCCTCCAGGACATCTACAGCACCCGATGTCACAGGAAGGCCAAAAAGGCGAGGTCAGTACAGGTGCATCAAAGCTGGGACAGAGAGACTGAAAAACAGCTTCTATCTCATCCATATATTTATATATTCTTATTCCATTCCTTTACTTAGATTTGTGTGTATTAGATATTTGTTGTGGAACTGTTAGATATTACTTGCTAGATATTGCTGCACTGCCGGAACTAGAAGCACAAGCATTTCACAACCCTCACAATAACATCTGACCAATCAATTTGATTTTGATGATTGGGACCTGTTAGTGGTAGTTTTGTGATAACTGCACTGTGATTTTAATTTTGGATTTTAAAAAAAAGTGTCAAAAAAAAATTGCCCAAATATTTATTCTAAATGTTAACAATCCCAATGTCATTTAAACATTTAAACGTTTACACCCCTAGTGCCAACTTCTGTCTGAAGCGTCTGAACGATTTAGGCTACACACTAATACAGTGCATTCGGAAAGTATTCAGACCCCTTGACTTTTTCCACATTTTGTTACGTTACAAACATAATCTAAAATTGATTACATTGTTATTCTTCCTCATCAATCTACACACAAGAGCCCATAATGACAAAGCAAAAACAGGTTTTTAGACTGAATCATAACATTTTCGTAAGTATTCAGACCCTTTCCTCAGGACTTTGTTGAAGCACCTTTGGCAGCGATTACAGCCTCAAGTCTTCTTGGGTATGACACTACAAGCTTGGCAGACCTGTATTTTGGGAGTTTCTCCCATTATTCTCTGCAGATCCTCTCAAGTTCTGTCAAGTTGGATGGGGAGCGTCGCTGTACAGCTACTTTCAGGTCACTCCAGAGATGTTAGATCGGGTTCAAGTCCGGATTCTGGCTGTGCCACTCAAGGACATTCAGGAACTTGTCCCGAAGCCACTCCTGTGTTGTCTTGGCTGTGTGCTTAGGGTCGTTGTCCTGTTGGATGGTGAATCTCTGAGGTCCTGAGAGCTCTGGAGCAGGTTTTCATCAAGGATCTCTCTGTACTTTGCTCTGTTCATCTTTCCCTCGATCCTGACTAGTCTCCCAGTCCCTGCTGCTGAAAAACATCCCCACAGCATGATGCTGCCACCACCATGCTTCACTGTAGGGATGGTGCCAGGTTTCCTACAGATGTGAGGTTTGGCATTCAGGCCAAAGAGTTCAATCTTGGTTTCATCAGACCAGATAATCTTGTTTCTCATGGTCTGAGTCTTTAGGTGCCTTTTGGCAAACTCCAAGCGGGCTGTCATGTGCCTTTTACTGAGGAGTGGCTTCCGTCTGGCCACTCTACCATAAAGGCCTGATTGGTGGAGTGCTGCAGAGATGGTTGTTGTCCTGGAAGGTTCTCCCATTTCCACAGAGGAACTCTGGAACTCTGTCAAAGTGACCATCGGGTTCTTGGTCACCTCCCTGACCAAGGCCCATCTCCCCCGATTGCTTTGATTGGCCGGGCAGCCAGCTCTAGGAAGAGTCTTGGTGGTTCCAAACTTCTTCCATTTAAGAATGATGGATGCCACTGTGTTCTTGGGGACCTTCAATGCTGCAGAATTTTTTTTATATCCTTCCCCAGACCTGTGCCTCGACACAATCCTGTCTCTGAGCTCTATGGACAATTCCTTCGACCTCATGGCTTGGTTTTTGCTCTGACATGCACTGTCGACTGTGGGACCTTTAATAGACAGGTGTGTTCCTTTTCAAATCATGTCCAATCAATTGAATTTACCACAGGTGGACTCCAATCAAGTTGTAGAAACATCTCAAGGATGATCAATGAAAACAGGATGCACCGGAGGTCAATTTCGAGTCTCATAGTAAAGGGTCTGAATACTTATGTAAATAAGCTATTTCTGTTTTTTTATCTTTAATAAATGTGTAGAAATATCAAAAAAACTGTTTTTGCTTTGTCATTATGGGGTATTGTGTGTAGATTGATGAGGGAAAAAATCAATTTAATCAATTTTAGAATAAGTTTGTAATGTAACAAAATGTGTAAAAATTCAAGGGGTCTGAATACTTTCTGAATGCACTGTATATGACCTCTCTATGGAAAGTTGAGACTCTCACGAACACGATGGTGTTCTCCATTTTTCTCTACGACCCCCACAAGTGTCACAGACTCATCTGAAGGTAACCCGGTACCAGGACGAAAATGTTATGGAAGTGAATAGGGCATTTCGACATCAGAGGTATACGGGTCATTCCATGGTAAAATTATTATATATTTTTTCTGAGTCCTTATATCTCTCAGATATAGGACACAGACACTTCAAAACATATTTTCGGACTATTTGTTTTTCCAAGTATGAATCTGTTATTAAATGCGTTTATATGGGCTAATAGCAGGCCAAATTCAATGTTTTATCAAATATTTAAATACATATATACAAGAAATTATAGGTACTGACAGGGGTCCTAAAATTCCAAATCAAATAGCTAAATGATCCTTGGTAAGACCATCTTAAAACAATTCCATATGTTAGCTTAGTAGAAACCCAGCCCCAGGCCCCTAGACTCTAGGGTTTTGACCAGATTGACCTGTGTTCCCTGGCAGGAGGGGCGTGCCGAGCAGCTGCTATGGCTGGTCCTAGTCCTGCAGTGAGTGGACACATGGCCAAACATCTGGCAGCAGTCCACAGAGGAAACCATTCAAACAGCTCCACCAAAGCCTGGTCCCTGATCTGTTAATGCTGTCTCGCCAAACACAACTATGACCATAGGAGTTGGCAAGACAGCACAAACAGATCTGCGACCAGGCTAGTCCCACCCATCCACCCACAACTGCTAAGTCAGTCTGTGAGTGAGCCACATCATTCAGGATGGGAAGCCTTTAAATGAGAATCTCCTAATTAATCAAAACAAGTCCAACCCTTCCATTTCCTCAATTCGATTAGGCCCTTTCACACACACTTTCCACATTTCTTATTGTATCCAGATGTTGCTTGGATAATATTCTGTCTTTTTCAGAATATGGAGTTGATTAAACTTCAAACCAAGTTCTACTGGCCTGACCACAGGTTCTGAAGGGCATATTGGTCTATATGCATAAGGCCTGTAGTGACCATAAGAGGACCATGTCACTGCCTTGGCTTAATATAACAAATAATAACACCAGACACTACACCAGAATCAACCAATCTCTGCTATGTATTCCATTAATGAATTCCACAAAGAGGCCCTGCCTGGTTTTCACTGATGAGCCTTGAGGAAACAGAAGTAGAGGGCCATGTTCCTTATTTCTCAGTGTAAGATGAGCTGAACAGACGTTGCCCTGACCCCCATCTGAGGAAGCACCTGATCCTGTCTGGAAACCTCTCCTCCCTCCATTCGTTCCCCCTCGCTTGAGAATGACATTCAACCCGAACGCCATGTCAGACAGACGAAAGGAGGAGAAGCACTTTAAAATGTGTTCACCCTGACATCTGCTACTCATTACATCACTTTGGAGAAGTAGGATAGAAGAAAATAAAAAAAAGGACGGCATGGATGGAATTACAGTGCAACCTAATAGTTCAACCTAATGAATAGAGACAAATCTCTTGTTTGGTATGAGTTGGAGGGGTAGCTTTGTCAATTGGCATCTTATCGACTGTCATTCTCAGTAATACCTTGACCCATAGCATCAGGTGCTGAACAAACACAACTGATACGTGATGAAATGCTGATGGCCACAGTATAGCCTTGCTGCATTCCCATGACATAAAGTGAACCCATATGGAGATAATAGGCTGAAAATAACATTACAAGAAGAGGTTGTTAGAGCACTCTACTGTGTCCAATTGAAGATGGCTCTTGCCAAGCAAATAAATAAGGTATTGTAGGAGGCTTTTGTAGATGGAGTAAAATCCCACGGAGGCATGCACGGTAATCCCATAATGGATGTGTTAGGCTGAAAGGACAATTCACTATTCCAACAATCCTAATTCCACTCTTGGCTTTATGCAATAAGACTGTGTGGAATTACCCAGTAATTGCTTGGATTGTTCCACATAATAAAAAAAAAACACACTCAGTATTACATATAATAACTTCAGAATGTATCTGGTAGGGTACGTGAATAAGAAGTGTGTGAATACAACGATCTGCACAAACAAACACATGATTAAGAGATAATGCCCTCGAAGCCGGTGTTTGTTGGATATATTGGCACGGGTGTTGTTAGGCCCGAGATGAAGTCGAGGGCTGACAAACCGTGCCAATATATCCAACAAACACCGGCTTCGAGGGCATTATCACTTTTATACAACGGGTTACCAACATATTCAAATAATGATTGACATATTTAAATGTGACGTTATTTAGATTAATTTATTCGTACTATTTCATCCTTTCACAAGACATAGTCCCGACATAAATCTAGGGTTGCTAGAGACGCGACCCAGTCGTTCGTTATTTTTGTTCTGTATCTATGGACGCGACCCAGTCGTATAGTGTTTTTGTTCTGTATCTATAGACGCGACCCAGTCTTTCGTTCTAAATGTTCCATTGCCATACTGGCTGGCAACGTTCTTATCCCTTGCTTGCTAGCTAGCCAACTACGGCTAATTTACAGTTACACCAAAATATTCAGTCAGAATAACAGCCAGCAAAGTATCTGCATTTGCATTTGTTTAAGCTGTTTTCTAGTGACATGTATTTGGATACATCCATAACAATGAGCTAATGAGGCGTGATTTCGCCTGGCATAGAACATCTGCTCACTCGTCAGGACACTGTTGTTCATAGGAGCTAGCCAACAACACAGCTACAGTAACACAATCACTTCAAACTGAAGCTGGAAAGACTGCACATGAGCTGCGTTTCGTTTTACCTTTTTTCAATGATTTTTTTGTGTGTATATATCCATAAAAATGATGCCAGCTGATTCATGATTTCGACTGGCTGAGAAACGCTGCCTGCCTTTCTGTCTCGTCCCGACTCCCGACACGTTCAATACTATGGGACAGCAGGAGATCGAATTTGAATATTGAAACAATGTTGCAAATGTCGTAGAGACAGACAGCAAGGTTTATACAAATCTCCACTGTTGAAAACCAAATGTTAGTCTAAAAGAACTGTCTAGATCAGGGCTGCCCAACCCTCTTCCTGGAGATCTACTGTCCTGTAGGTTTTCAGTCCAACCCTAATTTAGCGTGTCTGATTCAGCTAGTTAAGGTCTTGTTGAGCAGCTAATAAGTAGAATCCGGTGTGTTAAATTAGGGTTGGACTGAAAACTCACAGGACGGTAGATCTCCAGGAAGAGGGTTGGGCAGCCCTGGTCTAGATGCTTTTTATAGTGGAGATCAAGTTTATAAGCGCCTGACTGGGTTGATGAGACAGTGGATTGCGCAGAACAGTGTAAATAGGTATTTTAACGTCATAGATTGTCCCGACAGTGACAAATCTGTCGGGACCTATGTACATATGTTTTGGGAATGCCTAGTGGTCTCTGACCTCTTGAAATACGTTAAATACCTTCATCGCAACTTGATAGATGGAAATGTACCTATGTCTCTTGGTCTGTTTCTACTAGGAAATACTTGTGATATTCTATTGGATTCAATGAAATTGTTAATGTATACCCTAACTGCTGCCAAAAAGGCAATTCTAAAAAAGTGGTTGGATCCAAATACTTCTTTCAAATCTTCCTGAATTTTTTTCTTTTTGGACATTCTTATTCTAAAGAAATCCACAGCTAAGATGCATGGCGCGACTACAACAACTCTAGTGGGCTGGTCAAATGCCATCTCCACCATCAAAGACCTTTGTTAGGTACCCCTCATGTAATATGATCTCTCAATTGTTGTATCTTGAACCCTAACCCCCCCCACCACACGCACACACACACAACCCCCACCCAATTTCCATTTTCGAGCAGTGACTCAGGTTATTTTCTCATCCCGGTGCAATATCCTCTAAGCGTGTGCAGGATATGGGGAGTGTAGGAGCAGAGCAGGGGGAGAGCTGCTATCAGAATTAAGATGTGATTCCCCCCATGACTCAGAGCACACAGAACAGCACACAGCACAGCACAGAGCAGAGCTGGAAACACCAGAGCACTCTAGCTAGCTACCTCACCAGTCCCCAGAGCTCTCCTCCATCTCTTCCTCACAGGCCATTCACTCACCTCACATACACAGAGGGGTGATCCGACAGACAGCAGGGAAGATTCGGATAACATACCACATCTGAGCTGTGTCTCCCTCAGGTTGCGGACCTCCAGGCCGTGGAGGTGTGTGGGATGAACACACAGGGTGTCGTTGCCCAGACGCACGCCGTTTGCCCTGGCCCACGGCAAAAGCCACTCCAGCTGACAGTCACAGAACAGAGACTCTGTAGAGAAGTGCCTGAGGGGATACGGCAACGGCGTTACAACCATCATCGCACTGTGTGTAGGTGTCATTTTGGTACAGTGTGTGAGTGACAATTTGTTTTTAGGGTGCGTGTGTGTGTGTGTTGTTTCATTTTGTTTTCTTACAGGACTTTGAGAGACAGGAGGTGTGTGAATAATCCCACCGGCAAGGAGGAAAAAATATTTCCAGATAGATTCCTGTGGGGAAAAAAGGTCAAATACACATCAAACCAGTTTACTTTGAACAAGTACAAAAGCCACAGTATCTGCTGTTGCATTATTTTGAAACAGCCTTATCTAAGAGAAACAACATATCTCCTAGATCTCAAAACATCTCAAATTATGCGTACAGTGCTGTATGTTTTCAAATCAGAGATTACTCACAATTTAGAGAGATTGCCAAGGTCTACAAACATTTCAGGAGCGAGGCAGCCAATCCGATTGTTGGACAGATCCCTATAAGGACAAAAAGCTAACTTTAAATTATGGCTTAGAGATAAGCCAAGCCCATCTGACTTAAAGCATTAAGAGCACTGATCATCGCCGGAGAGCTGGCATGAGATAATACAGAATGCGCTTGGCTGTGACAACAAGTGTGTGTTTGTGTTTTGTGCCGTCTCCTCTCATAATAACGTAATAACGAGAGCTTATTAAGCAGCTCAAGGAACTATGATGTTAAACCACCAGTCCAATGTTTATTTATTCCAACTCGCGGGATATCAACCCTAACCTTCTGTTAACCCTTCACCCCTCACATTACCATTCACACACACACACACACACACACACACACACACACACACACACACACACACACACACACACACACACACACACACACACACACACAACACACACACACACACACACACACACACACACACACACACACACACACACACACACACACACACACACACACACACTTATAGAGGGCTGTCTTGGCTCTGTGCCCTTCCCCTCTGTAATGAAAGAGCTGCTTTGCTGGAGCAGCTGTGGGAAAATAAGCAAGGCACTCGAGTAATCACCAGTTGGGGAGCACTTAAATTAGCACTCTGCTGCTCCCAGAACCTGGCGCACGTGCCTGCTGCAACACCCCAGCAGCCTAAAACCCCCTAACAATCATGATGGAATTAAGTAATTTACGCTGCAGGGTTTATCTATGACCAACTTTGTGCGAGTGTGTGTGCATGCTTAGGTGTGTGTGTGAGAGAGAGAGAGAGAGAGAGAGAGAAGAGAGAGAGAGGAGTGTGTGTGTGTGTGTTTTATCTACCACTTCAGGAAATAATGAATTTACTGCTTCTTTTTTAATTATGATGTCATAATTGTCACAGTGTAATAACCCACCCCTCTCCCAGCCCTCCCCTCACCAATGCCCCCATAAGACCCTGGCCTTGTCCCTCTGTGTAGCCCACCCACTATGACAACCCCCTTCATACTTACAGTCTCCTAAGAGCCATCAGTCCACGGAAGGCCCCGTGCTCCACCGTGCTAATCAAATTATTCCTCAGGTCCCTAGAGAGAGAGAGGGAGGGATAGAGGGAGAGAGAGAGAAAGATAGCGAGGGCGGGGGGGGGGGGGGGGCGAGAGAGAGAGAAGGGAGGTCACTTATCATGCCACTGTGGGTTTGAGAGTCACATTGCTGGAGACAGGGAGGGGGATTGCCCCTTAAAACCCTCTCATCTGGCAGTATAGTAAGTGGTTGGCAGTTAGCGATGAGATGCATTGAGCTGGGCTCTCGTCAGGGCCGAGCATGCAAGCTCATTGTGACATTAAGATGTAAACTCTAGCCTCCTTCCAACGAAAATGTGATTTATGATTCATTCAACACGTGACAGTGTAGTTCCCAAAGATCACAAGGTCAAGAAGACTCGGTGACATGCAAAGATGGCAACTTTTACTAATGCTGTACTACCATGATGAAACCCAGTTGTCAATACGCAGTTAACTCTGAATGGGTAACTCTATTCAGAAAGGAAATAATACTCTTTATCGCTTTTGATGTGGTCGGATATTACATACATTTTACAATGGCCATCATATGCATCATCAGTGACAGTGAATGATAGTGTACGGAGGTTATTTCAAAGAAGTGCCATGTCGGTCTGACACAAACATTATAAACATTACAGTGGTTTTAGCCAGGATCACTCTGTTCCCAATCCCCACTCCCAGTCCCTCGATTTCCCAACCCAACATTGCTAAAAATGGACCGGCATCAATTCATAACTCTACTTTTTGGTTTTCGCTCGGGCCAAAGAAAACTTCCTGAAATTGTGTCCCCCGGTTTCCTTTGACTGGGCCTGCCGGGAGTGATGAGAATCGGAAGGAGTCTGGCTCTCTCTCCATCCAGATGTGTGTACAGTACAGTACAATACACCAGTGCAGTATGGGTAGTCTAGCATGTAGTCTCAGCCCAACCCCAACTGCTGGTCACATCAGCAGTCATAAAAACATGCAAGGCCAGCCAAAGGCAATAAAACAAAACCGCTACCACTAATAAGTTACTGTGCCCCTTTCCCAATGTAACCATAAAAATTGAACTATGAACTTTGAACTTATTTGTAAAACAAGGCACTGCTTTGAAACCAAACGATCATTTTCATCTGTCCAAAGCCAGAGCAGAATAATTCAATGTTTTACTGTATATCCAACACATGAGCTGAGTGCCTCTGTCGAAAGAATCTGACAAAGACTGACACAGAATCAACCAAAAATCAAGCTATTAAAGGGCATGTTTTCGTCACCATTAGAGAGGCCTGTAGACCACCAGCAGTGAATGATTCCTCTGATGGAACTGATGCTAATTCAGTCAATGTAAAAAGAGTTACACACACCAAAAGAGAGAACAACGCATACTCATACAGAAATCATCATTATCGTTAGATAGATTACTCCTGTCTGTACTTAATGATGTGTGTCTGCTGTTAAATTGTTCGGTCCAAAGTTAAAACCCATTACACCATTACCCCAACCCACCCTCTCTACTCTACCAGTTCAAAGGCTAAAATTATTCTCGAAGCTGCACTTCACCGCATGCTCATTCACTTAATGTATTCTTGTGCCTGTAGATTACACAGTTTTTACATTAGGCAATACACTTTACATTACCCCCCAAAAAATTGACAGAAAACCTATAATTTCCATAATAACTATCCAATGTGTAATCAAAGGTGTGATCAATGAAGACATCCTCTACAATCATATAAAAAAAAAAAAAAAAAAAAAAAAATATATATATATATATATATATATATATATATATATATATATAATTGCAACAAATTGCATTTGGAAAGTATTCAGACCCCTTTACTTTTTCCACATTTTGTTACGTTACTGTCAAGCCCTGGCTCTAGGGACTCTTTTAAGTTGAGCCAGGGTGTGTAGAGTTTATGTTTTGTGCTCGTTGTGTCTAGTCTAGTTTTTGTATATCTATGTTGGCCAGAGTGGTTCTCAGTCAGAGGCAACGAGTATCAGCTGTTGCTGGTTGTCTCTGATTGGGAACCATATTTAGTCAGGTGGTTTTCCCACAGTGTTTGTGGGATCTTGTTCCGTGTTGGATACATTTTTGCAAATGTATTAAAAATAAAAAACAGAAATATTGCATTTACATAAGTATTCAGACCCTTTAGTCAGTACTTTGTTGAAGCACCTTTGCCAGCAATTACAGCTTTTACAATTACAATTGAATCTTCTTGGGTATGACGCTACAAGCTTGGCATACCTGTGTTTGGGGAGTTTCTCCCATTCTTCTCTGCAGATCCTCTCAAGCTCTATCAGGTTGGATGGGGAGCATTGCTGCACAGCTATTTTCAGGTCTCTCCAGAGATGTTCGATCGGGTTCATAAATCAGAGACATGGGTGATCAGGTCCTGCACTACGTCAAGTCCGAGTCCGTCCAGTCAGAGAGTACAGTCTATTGTTGGAGTCCTATGTCCCCTTTCGTGTGTGTGTGTACATGTGCGTGCATGTTTGTGCGTGTGTGTATGTGTGTGCATTTGTGTGTGTCTGCTGAACGGCCAGAGTAGGAGATGAATCTTCCCATTAGCCCCGTGTAGCTCAGTTGGTAGAGCATGGCGCTTGCAACGCCAGGGTTGTGGGTTTGTTTCCCACGGGGGGCCAGTATGAAAAAAGTATGAAAATGTATGCACTCACTAACTGTAAGTCGCTCTGGATAAGAACGTCTGCTAAATGACTCAAATGTAAATATGGTGAACAGCACAGCCAGAATTAATTGGGAACCACTTCAGTAGCTTTTCAAACATCATCCACAAATATTGGAGTTTATGTTTCGCAAGAGCCAGGACCATGCACAGTGTAGTTCCCGGTCACACTTCAAATGCTCAAGGTTTGGGGGAGAAACCACTTATTTTTTAAACATCCATATCTTGCTGAGTTTAGCCAGCTGTACATGTTTTAGAGTGAATTCAGATATAGGCAACAGTCAGTAGTGTGTGTGTGTGTGTGTGTGTGTGTGTGTGTGTGTGTGTGTGCATGCGTGCGTGCGTGCATGCGCATGTGTGTGCATGTGTGTGTGGGTGGGTGTGTGTGTGCGCGTGTGTGTGTGTGAGCACCTCCTGACCGGAGCTACAAACAGACCTCTCTCAGAAAACAGGAAGACTTATTTATTCAACTGGAATTCCATCCTGCCTTTCTCTCTCTTTGCTGCCAATCACCTAATAATACAATACAGCAATCTAACAACACACACAAACCTCCACTTTAGAATGAGACATGTTGACCTGGGATAGTTGATTGACATGATAACAGAGTAACCCACAGTATATGATCAAAGCAACACAGTTATTATTGCTGTCTGCTCACAGTACAAAATAACCCACACCTACAGTACCTGTCATAACTAAAGCTAAGTTACAGCTGTTATTATTGTTTTCTGCTCAGTGCTCATGGTACCTTGAGACACCTATGGCAGCATACAATACAGAGAAATATGATTGAAAGAACATTGTAACAGGTGCCCTGCAGCTTTTACTGTGTTGGGTTTACCTTGGAAAAGGTCTAGTCAGCCATTTTTGCCCAACTGTGTCCTGTACCTATCTCTCCCCTGCCTCTGACCTCCCTCACTGCTGAACTCTCTGGCCTGGGGCTTGGCTAGAAACTGCTGAGTGCTTAACTATGAGACAGGAGCACTGAGAAGGCCTCTGGCTGTGGTTGGCTGCTGTGTGTGCTGTGAACAAGAAGAGTTAAGCAAGAGGCACAGTGAATGACGTTACCCTCCGCCAGTCCACCCGCTCCCTCATAACATGCTTTATATAATCAAAGGCTCCCATCGACAAGAGGAGAGATCTGAGATGCCCCAGTGGCTATCTGTCTGCCTGTAGAGTGCTCCACCCTCCACTCAGTATCTACTTTCCGTTCCACTGTATCCACTCATTTAGTTTTCCCATCTCAGGATAGCTAGGTTTTCATACAGTGAGGCAATGCTTGAAAACCGACATATGGGGAGCTCCAGAACTTGGAGAGAGGGTTGGAGAGAAACTGCCCCTAATGTACTTAGACGGTTTGTGTGCTGTCGGGTCCATTGAAAGCCAATGGAGATTGCCAAAACCAATTTCGGCATGCCAATCATTGTGGACCACCAAAAATGTCCTTGAGTGGCCCAGCCACAGCCCGGTCGATGTTTCTACAACTTGATTGGAGTCCACCTGTGGTAAATTCAATTGATTGGACATGATTTGGAAAGGCACACCCCTTTCTATATAAGGTCCCACAGTTGACAGTGCATGTCAGAGCAAAAACCAAGCCATGAGGTCGAAGGAATTGTCCGTAGAGCTCCGAAACCCCTACAACTTATCCAGAACGCTGCAGCCCGTCTGGTGTTCAATCTTCCCAAGTCACCCCGCTCCTCCGCACACTCCACTGGCTTCCAGTTGAGGCTCGCATCTACTACAAGACCATGGTGCTTGCCTACAGAGCTGTGAGGGGAACGGCACCTCCTTACCTTCAGGCTCTGATCAGACCCTACACCCAAACGAGGGCACTACGTTCATCCACCTCTGGCCTGCTAGCCCCCCTACCTCTACGGAAGCACAGTTCCCGCTCAGCCCAGTCAAAGCTATTCACTGCTCTGGCATTCCAATGGTGGAACAAGCTCCCCCACGACGCCAGGACAGCGGAATCAAAGTTACCCCCCCCCCCCATCAAAAAAACACACAAAAAAAACAAGTGGTTGTCCCACTGGCTATCATAAGTTGAATGCACCAATTTGTAAGCCGCTCTGGATAAGAGCGTCTGCTAAATGATGTAAATGAGACAGGATTTTGTCGAGGCACAGATCTGGGGAAGGGTACCAAAACATTTCTGCAGCATTGAAGGTCCCCAAGAACACAGTGGCCTCCATCATTCTTAAATGGAAGAAGTTTGGAACCACCAAGACACTCCCTAGAGCTGGCCCCCCGGCCAAACTGAGCAATTGGGGGAGAAGGGCCTTGGTCAGGGAGGTGACCAAGAACCCAATGGTCACTCTGACAGAGCTCCAGAGTTCCTCTGTGAAGATGGGAGAACCTTCCAGAAGGACAACCATCTCTACAGCACTCCACCAATCAGGCCTTTATGGTAGAGTGGCCAGACGGACACCACTCCTCAGTAAAAGGCACATGACGGCCCGCTTGGAGTTTGCCAAAAGGCACCTAAAGACTCTCAGACCATGAGAAACAAGATTCTCTGGTCTGATGAAACCAACTTTGAACTCTTTGGCGTGAATGCCAAGCATTATGTCTGGAAGAAACCTGGCACCATCCCTACGGTGAAGCATGGTGGTGGCAGCATCATGCTGTGGGGATGTTTTTCAGCGGCAGGGACTGGGAGACTAGTCAGGTTCGAGGGAAAGATTAACAGAGCAAAGTACAGAGAGATCCTTGATGAAAACCTGCTCCAGAGCGCTCAGGAACTCAGACTGGGGCGAAGGTTCACCTTCCAACAGGACAACAACCTTAAGCACACAGCCAAGACAACACAGCAGTGGCTTCGGGACAAGTCTCTGAATGTCCTTGTGTGGTCCAGCCACAGCCCGGACTTGAACCCGATCTAACATCTCTGGAGGGACCTGAAAATAGCTCTGCAGCGACGCTCCCCATCCAACCTGACAGAGCTTGAGAGGATCTGCAGAGAAGAATGGGAGAAACCTCTCAAATACAGGTGTGCCAAGCTTGTAGCGTCATACCCAAGAAGACTCAATGCTGTAGTCACTGCCAAAGGTGCTTCAACAAAGTACTGAGTAAAGTTGCTGAATACTTACGTAAATGTAATATTTCCATTTTTTATGTGCAAAAATGTCTAAAAATCTGTTTTTGCTTGTCATTATGGGGTATTGTGTGTAGATTGAATCAGTGAAAAAAATTACTATTTCATCCATTGTAGAATAAGGCTGTAACGTAACAAAATGTGGAAAAAGTCAAGGGGTCTGAATACTTTCCAAATGCACTGTTTGTTGCAAATTTGTTGCGGTTAAATGATTAACAATTGAGTGCAGTTGGATTAAGTGATGGTTAAAATGTATTTAAACAAATGAGAAGAGAATCATATGAAAAATATTGCATTGAGAATAGGGCTTGGTGATATGGCCAAAATATAATATCACGGTATTTTAAACATGTTGACTGTATGACGGTATTTATGTTTTTGAATAATGAAAGTTATTCAATTTGCTTCATGAGTAGTGTGTGGCCCATGTGTGGCAACACATACAGGACATTCTAAGTGATTTCAATGGGTCGCTCTCCATTCTGATTGTTTTATACTGTTCAATTAAAGCATTTTCATACATTTCTGCATTTCCTGCACTCATTTGAGATCATTTCCACACTGCCAAGTAGGGCTGCATGATATGGGCAAAATACATGATTACATACCATGACAAATTAATTTCCATTTCATTTATGCCGTTAAATAGAAAACAATGCTTTATCATATGGCATATTAGTGAATATGCACTGATATCTAATCAAATCAAGAGATGACAAATAGTATTGTGTAAGCCCTCTATCATGTTAGGCATGGTATGCCCCATATAATTTGTGTTATGCATGATGGTAATGTTTTGAGCATCCAGTAATCAGAGGTAATCCTGTAGTTGTGTGGAGTGAAGCCAAAGCCTATCCCACTGTGTCTGGTCAGAGCAGTGGAGACACACACACTCACACACACACACACACACACACACACACACACACACACACACACATACACACGACAGTACAGAGTGCCCTGCTAACAATTGTTCCACTAGATAAAAGGGGGGAGAGAGAATGAGCGAGAGAGAGAGGGAGATGGAGAAGGAGAGAGCGAGATTAATGGGTAAATCCATTTTAGTTCTGTTCGACAGCACCCCTTTTGATTTAAACAAAACTTTCCATACATGTTTTTGGACCTGTATGCCAAAACAATCAGCAGATAAAGGTGCTTAAATTGACCCATTTTGCATACCCCACCATACCATGAGACATCGATGTCCTCATCATTGGAAAATATAAACAGTTGAGTTGGATATCATTTAAAAGCTTACAAACAGAAAAAAGGTTTTTATAAAAATGATGTAATTTTTTCAAATACACATCTGTTTCACATCATTTTAGGTTTTTGTGTTGTGCCGCCATCGGTTGAGACACAACATGCTCTTGAATACAGGGTGGGTGTCATTTCAATCATAGAAATAGATTTCTTATAATGGACCTATCCCTTCAGACCACTGCAATTTAGCTGGTACATGATTGAAATTGAAATTGAATGGAAATGTTAACTTCTCATTACTACCACAAAGCCGGTCCACCCACTGTCGAATGTCAACTTAAATGGTAATGTATATTCTATTATCTATATTTCTATGATTTCAATAGGTTTCCTATGGAGGATTGACAGTATAATTTAAAACAGATATTCCACTTCAAGTCAAAACCTGAAACCCACCCTGTAAGAGTATGTTCTGTCTAGACCGATGGCGGGCACAACACAAAATCCTTAGATAACGTAAAATAGTGTCTAAGTTACAACATATTCGAATATGAAAAAATTGTGTTTTTATATCATTGACGTTAAAGGTTAATTTTTATTCAAATACATATTTTTTTCTGAAACAATTAATATTTTGACAACCCTGTTTGTACGTTTTTAAAGATGCACTATGAAAAAATAGCTCCGCCATTTCCTGGTTGCTAAAATTCTAACAAAACAAGCAAGTATAGAGTAGATAATCATTGTACCATCTAAACCGTAAGTTAAAGACGCAAAAATGAAACTTAAGAAGCATAGTGCACATACAGTAGAACAGATCTACTACTACTTAGACTGGCTTTTAATGAGAATGACAGATTTATAACTTAAATTGTTATGTGAATTTGGTCGGTTCGCCCAGAAAGTTACATATAATAATAATATAATAATATAATAATATGCCATTTAGCAGACGCTTTTATCCAAAGCGACTTACAGTCATGTGCGCATACATTTTTACGTATGGGTGGTCCCGGGGATCGAACCCACTACCCTGGCGTTAAAAGCGCCATGCTCTACCAATTGAGCTACATATCACAGCTATAAATGATATCAATGTCAACCGTTTATCTTTTCCTGTGATCAAGTCATGGATGTCTCATGGTATGGTGGGTTATGCAAAATGGGTCAACTTTGAGCGCCTTCATCTTTTGAATGTTTTGGCATTCAGGTCCAAAAAGTCACTTTCTGAACACTTTTACAATGGGCAAATATGTATGCAAATCAAAAGGTGTGCTGTCAAACATTTATTGAATTCAAATGGATTTACCCTAATGAGAGTAGAGAGCAGTCTCTGACTGAGAGCAAAGGGCAACTATGTAGCCTAACTTTGGAAAAACTTCCTCTCAAGGTGGGACTGCATTGGACACCACAGACCCCCCTCAGTTCAAAACATCTCATACTGTATTCCAATCCAACCATGAATGCACAGCACAGAATAATACAACGACACAAACATGCTAATTTGCCTGGGATTTGATAAGGAAATATTGAAACTGAAATGACATCCTTTTTCATTCTCCATGGTATCGTTATAACTAGTTTGTTCACATTACATATCTTGGGTCAATTTGCTCTCCCACTGAGGAAACAAGCCGGCAGGAAGAAACGTCTCACCAGATACTTCAAATTAGATCATACACATCTAATTAGGATGGATAACCACCTAATGTAAATAAATATGCTTTGAGATCTCTCACAGGAGAGTAAAAGAGGGATAAGTAAGACAGTTCAGTCCAATTAGAGCGACTTAGTGTACGCGATGTGACAGTAGTAGCAACCA